GAGGGAGGAGGAGCTGGGGGGGTTGCTCAGAGCTGGGATTGGTGTCGGGGAAGGGGCTGGGATCGGTCCATGGGGCATTTGTGGTGGTGGTGGGGAAGCTGGGATCAGCCAGGAAGGGATCGAGTCGGGGAGGAGCTGGGGTTGTTCTGAGAGGGGTATGGATTGGGGGGGGAACTGGGATTGGTATGGGGAGAAGATGGGATTGAACTGGGGGGGGGACTTTGGGGAGGGGACTCTGGGATCAACCTGGGAGGGGATCTGGGGATGGGGGAGGAGCTGGGGTTGGTGGTGGTGGGGGGGTTAGCGGTGTAGGGGGGAATAGCAGGATCAAGGGGGGTGAGGGGAGAATTTGAGGGCAGGGGAGCAGTGGGAATTTCCTGCATCTCCATCTCATCTCATCTCTTCCCCTCCAGACCAGAAACCTGCAGCCCCCCAGGATCCCCCGAAGGAGCCCTCAGCACAGAAGGCCAAAACCCCCAGTGTGATCTCCGGTCTCCAGAGCCGCTCCCCCCTGCAGGGGACTGCAGAGGCTGGGACCCGGGTGGGGAAAGGGGGCCCAAGCAGGAGGTGACCCCCGGGGATGGCCGTGAGCAGGGGCCAGTGGCTTGGGGCCTGATCCCAGTGGGGGGTGGCAAGGACAGGCCTGGGGCAGGTTTTAGGAGACTCCGTTCGTAAGAGAGGTGCCAAGACTGATTTGAAAAGGGAGAGGAAGAGAAACGACCCCCTCGAAACTATCCACTCCTGGGGCACTGGCTGGCTCCGGGGGTGGGGAATGGGATACGGGGCCTTTCCCCTCTGTGGGGCACCAGCTCCCACCTGGCCCCAGGGCAGGGGACTGGCTGGCTCAGTGGGGCAAGGAACGGGACGTGGGGCCTTTCCCCACTCGGGGGTGCCAGCTCCGATCCAGCCCCAGGGCAGGGGACTGGCTGGCTCAGGGAGTGGGGAACGAGACATGGGGCCTCTAGGGGGCACCGGTTCTGATTTGGTGGGTTTTTTTGGGACCCTTGTCTATTTATAAACGTACAATCAAATTGTGTCTCTGTGTGCATTTTTAGAAGCACGTTTCCTGCCTCAGCATCTTTTATTGGCTTAAACAAGCTGGTGGGAGGCGGGACCGTAATGGACCATACCCCTCTAGGATTACGTGTAGGGGAAGGGGGGAATACAATGGAGGGGACTCCCGGGGGGGCGGTTCAAGGACGGAGGGACTATGTGGTCCTGGCTAGACTTGATGGGGGGCTGGTGGGAGAAACAGTCTACCATTACCAGTGGGAATACTAGGAACTGGGACGTCCCATGAGAAGCGTTTGCTCCCCTGGCTGGTTGGCCGTGGCACTTCTTGCTTGGCCCCAGTTCGCTTTCTGGTTTGGGCCGTCAGCTGGTTGGGGTGTTACCGGCACAAAATTCTCTATTACACACTGTAGGGCACCCACCTTTACCCAGTTCCTCGGGCTCAAGGCGCAATCCTCTTAATTTAGGCACCCACCCTTACCTGGTCCTAGGGCTCCAGGTGAAAGGCACCTAACTTTACCCCTCCATGGGCTCTGGGCTCTACTCCTCCAAGGGCTCTGGGCTAACACCCTTTCCGAGTGGGCTCAGGGCTTAATCTTTTGCAGGTTTATGGGGTCTTTTACCAGTGATATCCTACGTAACCTCTATTTATTAACAATCACCAAAAACCAGACTGCACACGCTACACATACAGTGCTCACCGCTCCCAAGAAGACAAATGAACTTTTCCTGATGGCCAGTCAGGATCAGGTAGGGTGACCAGACAGCAAGTGTAAAAAATCAGGACAGGGTGTGGGGGGTAATAGAAGCCTATATAAGAAAAAGACCCAAAAATCAGGACTGTCCCTATAAAATCGGGACATCTGGTCACCCTAGGATCAGGTCATCTGGGGGACTCCAGTTTCTGCACGGCGTCATTGGCAGAGCGTTGAGGTCTCACAGCTCTGATCTTTGGGGCTATGTCCTGGAGTTGGTGCCCCAAGAACTTTCTTTTGGACCCCAGTTTATATAGTGAAACTTGAGCCCTGCTTAGTTATATCTTAACCAATCAATATACTAACATTTTACTAACCAATCCTAACAAAATGCTCTCACCAATCCTACCCCACCACCTTCATTAATTTACATCTAGCAAAATTAATGATGTAACAGACAGAAATAATCAAAGAACCGGACAGAACTCATCCAGACAAACAATGGGGAAGTGGGGACCATAAAGACAAAACAATAAAGAAATGAGGATTCCACAATCACAACTATTGAGAAGTGGTTTCTTGTCAGACAGAATGCCATCAAACAAAGTTTTCTTTAACCATCTTAAGATCTGTTTCTTTATCTGGTGATAGTAGGTGCCATTAGGACGGGGTCTCCTTCTTAACAGCCTGATATTACATCGTTTTAATGTAATTTAGATGGAATGTGAGGATGTGACTTCCTGCTTCTCCGCTGCTCTTTTAATCTGGCTGCAAACGAAGGCTTTAGGCCTTGCAATATGGCTGCAGACAAAGGCCTTATCCTTCCAGGGTCTTTTCTCCTTAGGCAGGGCTGGGGTCCTCTCACGTGGCGGTGCTGCGGCACTGCAGGTGGGGAGCAGAAAGCAACAGAGCAAGGGAAGAGAAAACCATACAGGAGTTTACGTGGCTGTGTGGTGCTGGATGTTTTAGTAACCCTAACACTCGGCTGGGACGAAAATCCCTTAATCTGATTTGCTCCCGGGGTCCCGGAAGCTTAGATAAGGGGAGATAGCCAGGTGGGGGTGGATATATGAGCTGGGAGATGAGAATGATTCTTTTATTTTTTTCAAAGTCTCTTTTTAAGCAGCCCCCCAAAAAGGAGTACAGGTGGGGGCAGTTTCTCCTCATTATTTTGGCCACCAATTAAATCCATTTCCGGAAGGCCACGTTCGCATAGGTAACTTTGTTCCCACATTTACTTGTTTAAGTATGACCTCACCACAGTCAGTGATTTGCATGAGTAGGGCCCCTGCTGTCTGGACTGATTCAATTTTTATGTCTGGTTTTTCTTGCACCTGTTCCTAACATGGTGCGTTTATTGAAAAACAGATAGACTTATATTTCATGGTCAATTCTCTGCCGAGCAAACCATCCTAGGTTAGTGTGACCTCTGATAAACTTTCCCAGACGTCTCACAATTAAACTTACAACTGGGGTACATTTTTTAGGTCCCGTGATCACAACAGACCCCAAAGATGGTTAATTCAAGAAGGTCCCCCAAGGATATGCAGCATGTTGTCACAAACTCCGCCCTCCTCCCAGAGTCAGGAAGAGAACACAGGCGCTGGGGATAGAACCCAGGAGTCCTGGCCCTCAGCACCCCCTGCTCTAACCTACTAGCCCCCACTCTCCTCCCAGAGCTGGAGATAGAACCCAGGAGACTTGACTCCCAACCCTCCCTGCTCTAACCCACTAGACCTCACTACCCTTCCTTCCCCTCCCAGAGCAACTGATTGAGCATGGGGTCCAGGGGGGAGGGAGCTGTGTTTTCATGAACCCTTTTTCCAGGTGAGGCCAGCACAAAAAAAGGAAGACAAAAGGGCCAGAGTCCCTAGAGAACGTTTGTGTAGGGTCACCCATGACACACACTCACACGTGTGTGCGTGTGATTTGTGTGTGTGTCAGAGGGAGTGAGACTGGGAAATACACAAGCCGTGCCCCCACCTAATTCAGGGTGGTTTAGAGCAGTGTTCTGGCCCCCTTAATCCTGCAAGCA